TTAGTATATGGTGTCTGGTAATTGTTTTGATGACTTTTCTGAAATTTATTGTTTTGCCATCTGGCAGGTAGGCTATGGTATCTTCTGTTTTGATATGTGTTTTGTTTTTGACTGTCCCTATCACTGGGTGTGTTTCTAATAGAGGCTAGTGTGCTGTTTCTATTGTCTAGCTCTTCATTGGGGTGAGCATCTTTAAATGTTGTGATTGAGTCAACTAACTCACGCTCATTTTTAATCTTTCTCTCTTTAAGGAATGAAAATAAAGAGACTGATGCATTTCTTAATATTTTGTCTATGATAAACATATCCAGTAATGCTTTTGGATCATTTAGGTCAATTTCAGTTAATTCAAGCCATTTGACAAGATTGTCTCTAATATTGAATATGGTGGTGTTAGGATCTACTTCTCTCTCTAGTCTTATGTTGTGGAAATTTTTTCTATAAATGTCTTCTGTGTTTCCATAGAACTTTAACAAAACTTTCTTTATATATGTATAATTATTCTTTTGTTCTTCACTAAGTGAATTGATAATGCTTAGGCTTTTCCCTGATAATCTGCTCAATAAAATATTAGCCCAAGTCTCTTCTCTATAATTGTAAGACTGACATATGCCTTCAAATTGTGACAGATAACTAATAATTTCTTCTTTATGTTCATTAAATTCTCTAAATTTGGGTTTATATGTGCTATTGGTTTCTCTATTGCTTGTTGATGGTGTATGCTGTCCTGATTCTATTCTAGCTCTTTCTAGTTTTATTTCTTCCTCTCTTAATTTCATATCCTGTTCTTTTAATTTCATATCCTGTTCTCTTAATTTAAGTTCTTCTATTTCTTTTTGTCCTTTTAATTTCATTTCTTCTATTTGTTTAAGATCGTTTCTCTCTAACATTCTAGCTTCTCGGTCTTTGTCTTTGTCTTGTCGGTCTTTGTCTTCTTTCTGTCTGTCTCGTATTTTGTCCATTTCTCGAGTTACGAAGTCAGTTAATTTCTCCTGCTTCAAACCAAGCTTCTCACCTACTTCTAATAATTCCAAGTACTCTGCCATTTTTTATGTGTAATGTGAGTAACTAAAATTATATTGTTATGTATCAGTATATCAGTTATCTCCTTATTCTTTGGTTATCAATTAAAATAGTTTACGATATTTCATATATCTACATGTTAATGAATGTATACACAAATGCAAGTTGATACATGAATTATAAGTTATAAATAAGTGTAAGAAAAATTTAAAATAATTAAATTGTCTACTTCACAACATAAATACAGATATGTAGACGTTTACATGAATACAAATGAGACAACAAATACAAAAGTACTGTGTAGTTTATGGACCACAAGATAGTAGAAAATATGACAGTAGGTTGACAATATGTATAACAATGACAAGACAAATAGCACAAATATGACACGATCTACTAAAAAACAACAGTTATGACAATGTACAAACTAGACTTCACAGCTAACACAAAATTATCCTACAGTGTTATAAATAGGGCCAGAAGAAACCTTTACCGTTTTAATAAAAAAACTTCCCTAGGAAAGATAACACCGTGGATGTCCCTACAGTATACTCTAAAATTAAACTTATATTACACAGAAAAAGTAAAAAATTTACTTAATCTAATTAAGTATGATATAAGTAGATTTTTAAAGTCTTAAATTATATATAATACATAACACATAAATACATAAATACCAAGTGTTTAAAAGAAATCCGTAGTTGGTCACCTCTGCTCCTCTGTGACGCTATGATTTCTGTGTAATCGATAATCCTATGTAGTAGATGCTCCTTCTAGGTAGTAGATAATCCTATGTGGTAGTGTACTTGGGTAAAATAATCCAATGAGAAAAGTTACACCACAAATTGCTGCAATATTCCAATGTAAGTACCTTGCGTAATAGTGTAATTGTGATAATCCAATAATTGAAAATTGTCTAATTTATCTCCGGTTCTGTTGCACTTGTGAGTAATTGAAGAATTACTTGAAGAATTACTTGACTTGAACTGTGCTGCTTGTATAAAGTAAAGATTATGCTGGGGAAATCTTACTTCCGCTGTCTTGATAAAACATCTCATCTGTAATGACATCAGACTTCTTTTGGTTTTGTGTGGATCATCTCTTTCGTTGACTAATAACTGTAAAATAGATTTCTTGCTGTTTCTTCCACGAGAATATTCACTCCACTGTTATATAATTGAAACAGTGTACCAGTTAGCTGTTTGAACTCTCAACTTTTGACTCCCGTGACTGACCTAAATTCAATCGTTGTCAGCTTGCTCTGTGTGTCGTGGACTCTTCTCAGACTTGACAAATACTCGGTCGTAATGACGTTCGATTCGAATGTTAAAATATATCATTGTTACTCAATGTTCTGTAAAACATCGTTGTTCTGACACTTCTGACAATATTTGTAACGCATCGTCGTTACACCGCTTCTGACACCATTTGTAACACAACTTCTACTCTGACATGGCGTGGGATGTTATTTCTTATGCTGTGGGTTATGTCAGTAGTATGGTTACTTATATTAACGCTTCAGGATGCCGACTCAGTCTTCTTCATTCTTTCACTTATTATTCAGGCACGTAAAGAAGAATGCTCAATTCTAGTTAAAACTCACAGTACTTTATTGAACACACTTTATATTGATAATATTAATAAATAATCCTTGCATGAATGTAATTTCACATATATATCTATAGTATTCCATCATTAAGAAAGACACGTCCTCAGACTACTATAACTCAGCTCAACTGTCTAATCTCACAGCTCTCACGCTACTGACTGACTCTACTGCTCTGCGCTCAGCTCTCTACTATCTCAGTCAACTCATACTTTATTACCAGCAAAGCGTGCAAAACAACCGCTCTGACAAAAACATAATTTTACTCTCCAAAAACGTGGAGTTCACATTTGTTCTCAAAAATACAATCCACATTGATTGTCTCTCCCCGTGGAAAAACCTGGTGAACACACTCACTGTCCACTCATGCTACCTCTCTGTTTACATGTGAAAACATAGTCCGTTACAATACTACAGTGAATTATAATTTTTAAAATTTGTGTAATAATAATCTCTCCCTCTTTTTCCATTGCTTTCTTTATAGACTATAAGTTGTAGGCTCTATCGACCTGAACTGTCTGCACAGATAATTATAGTACGTGTCTGACTTTAACACAGTCCCTGTGGCGCTATATAGGCCTACATGTAGGTCTACTTAGATCAAACAATGGCAGGAACCTTCTTGAACTTGACGGAAGTGTTTAAGAAGGGAATATATTTTAACACGTGATAGGAGAACATTTAAAAGGAAAGCTAAGTTATTGTTAGTAATTAAAACAAATTAACTTCGCTTTCGTTCGCGTGTTTCTTTATGCGATGGTGGCTAATTGACACACTTCCAGTCATCCCATCGAGCTGAAACTTGGCACATAGGCTTGTTGCCAATGACAGCACATCCTATCGAATATCCACCCCCCCACCCCCCATTAAATCAGTTTTAATGTACCAGATGCCACTGATTTCACGATATAAAATTCTTGAAAACTGCGCCAAATGAGATTTTTTGAAATATTGTAAGTGCTTGGTGCGACATTAGAATATTACTATAGTTCAAGGGCGTGACAAAATGTGTGGTTGCGAGCCTTGGGGGGGGGGGCACTAATGGGATTCTTATAAAGTGCGTTACTTGTATGCATGTTGCGCCAACTTTTCAACTCCACCCCTAAACAATTATGTTAACTGTGCTTTTGTTCGTGTGTTCCTTTCTTGCAAATTCTTGGGAAGGCTAATGAACTCACTTCCGGTCAAGTTTGTGCTAAGGATTGCGAGAATGACATACAAGATAATAACTTTATTTGCCAGTTAAACAAACCAAACATTTAAAATTTAACAAATGGTGGTGAAAATTAATTTTTTCATTAATACTTATTAAATGTTAGGTGTACCGTACTTAAGTTATGACACGGGAAAAAATCTTGAACTCTTTACTAAATATATAAATGTTAAAAGCAAAATTAGTTTAAGGAGTCAAATGTGTATTTTGGTCATGTTTATTAAAAAAATGGATATAATTATTTTTCTGTTATTTATTAACTCAGTGAATACATTTAAGTTTAAGGATTGTCTAATTTAAATCCTTCTGCAATTATATCTAAATAAATACATTGCCTTGTTCTTAATTACTGATTTTTTGATTGATACATAGGTCAAAAGGTCTAATCTAAGCTTGTGGTTATTTTGGTACGGTACCGATTTAACATTATTTAAAACATGTTATCATGTCTTAGCCAACGACACGCATGTAAGGTGTTTTACATATGAACACTTCGTACACCATGGTCTCATAAAGATGGACTATCTCAAATAACAATAAACTAGAACCTGCCATTTGTAAGGACTATCTCAAATAACAATAAACTAGAACCTGCCATTTGTAAGGACTATCTCAAATAACAATAAACTAGAACCTGCCATTTGTAAGGACTATCTCAAATAACAATAAACTAGAACCTGCCATTTGTAAGGACTATCTCAAATAACAATAACCTAAACCTGCTCGTTTGTATGCTCTATTTGTAGTGATTTAAAGATTAAGAATTATCCTGCAACAAGGATCCCTACAGATTTTGGAGGCACTATCTGGTTCAAGAAATTAAAGAAGAAATAAATACCACATAATGGATCTTTACAAGGTAAACTGTAGGAAATCATTGAGACACATGTAAGATCAGATTTGGTTTAGGTCAGGTTTTATACGCATCTCGTTGACTTTCATTCATCTTTTCTGGTGAATGAACTCAAGCTGACTCCAAGTTCGGCTGCGCTATTATTAGGTTGTCACTGACTAATTATAGTCTCCCTTTGACCTCGGTTACAACCAACTAAAATCTATGGTCTTTTTATTATTATAATTTTGTAGAATTATGTAGAAGGTTTGAGAAACAATGCGTAGTCCACCTTGAAGTATCTATGAAACATGCTATATAAAGCTTTTTACAGTGTGTGTGTAGATTCCTTTTCATCAATGTACATTTTTTACAACACTTCTTCAACACTGTACCGGTACAAGCCAATCATTATACTGTATGTCAATGGCTTTAATTTTATTTCTTTTGCTTTTTAATTTATAATTAACATAATAAAATAAATATATTGATAACAATACGTAACAAGGTCTTGCTTAGATCAGGTCTTTGTTTAGGTCAGGTCTTGTTTAGATCAGGTCTTTGTTTAGGTCAGGTCTTATATAGAGCAGATCTTTGTTTAGAGAAGATCTTTGTTTAGAGCAGATCTTTGTTTAGGTCAGGTCTTATATAGATCAGGTCTTGTTTAGATCAGGTCTTTGTTTAGATCAGGTCTTTGTTTAAATCATGTCTTTGTTTAGGTCAGGTCCTATATAGATCAGGTCTTTATTTAGATCAGGTCTTGTTTAGATCAGGTCTTTGTTTAGGTAAGGTCTTATATAGAGCAGATCTTTGTTTAGGTCAGGTCTTTGTTTAGGTCAGGTCCTATATCGATCAGGTCTTGTTTAGGTCAGGTCTTATATAGAGCAGATCTTTGTTTAGGTCAGGTCTTTGTTTAGGTCAGGTCTTTGCTTAGAGTAATTTTTCAATTTAAAAAAATCTTAGGTTCTTTAGAGAAACCAGTGACTTTATTGACACACTTTCCATCACTTATTCCTTCATTTCTATGAACAAGATATAAATTTAAATAGTCAACTATAAACACAATATAAATACAGTCAATGATCCAAATCATAACATTCAGTATAGAAAAAATTATAAACTTTAACATAACTCATTATATAATTAATAGTGCACAGAAGCATTACCATGGATGTGATGCAGGACAGATGAAGCCTGCTTACCTCACATCGCTTAACAAGGGCAGAGAATCATATGTCTTTTCAAACATCATGGCGGAATCTAGTCTGTTTAGCTTCCAGTGCATAAGGAAAATTATATTCAATGCTTTTTTCCCTATCTTCTAGGCATATTTTATTGAAGAATTAAATAAATTTAAAAAACAATTATTAGAGTGAAATCAGTAAAGAAAATTCTTTAACAATAAATTTGAAAATCACAAAATAACCAATTTAAAAACATTTCTAATCTATTGTTCGATTTTATTTGGCTGTGTAAAATGTCTAGCAAGGATGATAATAAAACTATCACAATAAATATACTGGTAAGCAATTTTTTCACATCGAATCTTTTAACACTGACAACCCAATACTAAAGATTTCAATTAAATTTTCTTGTCTTCTTAATTTTTAATAAGACAAAACCCAAAGAAATGTGAACATTCACTGCTAAGTTCCACACCTCTCGGGGACGTTTGTATGTCAGCTTCTACGCAGACTTTGTCCCCAGGTGACAGCACCAATAAGATGGAAGTGCTAATGGTTTGGGAGTCCCTCACATCAGGTGCTGTGCACATAGAGACTGGTATCTCATTACGTGAAATGACAGCGGTCAAGATACCAGTTGATTTCAAATTGATTGACAGGCCAAAAAAATAAACTCCACCCACAGGCGCTTCAAAAGTATTTGTCTGTTCATCATAGCAGCCCCAGTTGTTGTAGCTAATTTTATCAAATTTAATTACTTTTCCTGGCATAACCACAGTGTTAGGAAGCATTTCCACTGTAAATGTTGGCAATATTTCCCTTTCGTCATCTGTGGATATAGTAAGCAACTTATTGTAACCAACGTTCTCAGATCAGATAACATTTTTAATGCATTTTAGGATAGATATAAAATATGTCAACCACAGCTTTACTTACTGTGAACAAATCAATTAATTCTTTGGGTAAAGTCAACATTTTATTTGCTTACATTTTCATTTCTATCTAATTGTTACTTGAATATAAAAAGTGTAAACACTGAGAAATTAATAAGATGATAATACACTGAAACATTAAAGAGACAATAACACAGACACTTTAAAAAGATGATAAGACACAGAGACATTAAAAAGATGACAACACACCGAACAGATAAAATAAAAAAAGTTATTAGCCACATTTCATTTTACAAAATAATTTTTATTTACCATACCCTTAAACTGCTACCAAGTTATACAAGATTTAAAAAAAAACGTTCAATTATTTTATAAAAAGTATATAATAGATTCTTGCCTAATTCAAATATATAATAAACATGTTATATAGAATTTGTGTGTGTGTGTACACAAAACAAATAACATAATTGAAAATTTTTTTCAACCCTACTTAACCCCCCCCCACTGTCCCCATTTATTGTAGATCTTTAAATCAAAAGGATTACCTCGTGGCATGTTCTCTCTACTGGCCAGTAAGACTTGACACAATGCTATTTCTTCTTGCACCTTGACTATTTTGTCAGAAAGTTCCGCTCTGTTGGACACGTTATGATTCATCCTGTTTAAAGTGTCTCTTAACTTTTGTAACGCATCCATGTCAGATTTCATTGCTGCATACCGCTGGTCATTAAAATCCTGATGAGATTTTAATTTAGTGACATTGTCGCGAACACCGACCAGATCCGTTTTAAGTCTGGTCACATCTGTGATGAGAAGGCTGACGCTGTCATTAACCTTTAGCTGCAGATTATCAATTAGCAACTGTTTCTCTTCAGATTTCTGTAGTTGTGATGCGAACTTGTTGAACCGATCAGCTTCCTTTGTATTGATCAGGTCCAGCTTAGTTTCGACGTCATTTAATCTTTTGGCTATGTAAGTCTCATGAGCTTCCTGCATGCAGGACATCTGTTGCTGCAAGGATTCTAGCTGAAGCTTTACAACATTGACGGCCGATGCACAATTACCTTGGCTGGTGGTCAAAGTATTCTCTACAGGACTGGTCACTGATCGATCTCCTTTGTTCTGAGCAGCATCAGTAGGGGTAACAACTGGTGAGTCAACTACAAGTAATGATAATTTTATTATGACGTTATCAAATAGATTTGGATATAGATATTTGAACTCCACCTTCCCCTGCTATTAAGAGGATACACATAACACACTGTTTGAAATTAAGTACCACTTATCTGTTGCAGTCATATGTCTTTGTTGACTGTAAATTTGGGTTTTACAAAATTACATTACAATTTTTTAAGTTGGTCATGTTTTCATTGTGACAAGGCATCAAATTTGAAAAAACTCCAATAAAATGGCCGCAGTATTAACATATTTAAAAAAAATAATTTTGAATAACTCACCATCCAGATTGGTTATTGTTGTTATTGCCTCCTGGCAGATGGACAACTGTTCATGCATAAGATCCAAATGTGTTGCCAGTTTTAAAGACTCGGCAGCAGAGTTTTTCATCTCATGATTCATGACCTTTGCTTCTGCCTGCGTAACAAAATTCTCACTTTAGAAAATTGAATGTTTATAATTTCATTAATTATTACCTAACATATTTTCATGGAATTATATGTTACTTAGGCTATTACAAATAAATATGAACACACAAAAATAGGTTATTCATGAATGGCCACTTGCCTTTGCGTGAAAGATAAATATTTTTTATGGACTTACTTTTGCCATGCATGCATCTACATTCTCCATCAGTTTCTGAAGTGCTGAATATTTCTGGACAATATCTTGAAGTTTTCCATTCAAAATTAACTTGACAGTTGATAGTTGGCCATTTGGTATCTGACCGATATTTGATTTATCCATTATGCCTTTGTTGGTGAATGACTGACGCAGAGATGTTTACAATAAAACTTGGATTTCATCTTATGAGATATAATAATAATGTACAATTTTTTTATTATTAGGGAGAAAATATTCATTAAAAAGAGACAAACAATCAGGTAAGATAGTTTTGTAATCTAAAATAAAACAAGTTATATTCAAATTTTTATAGTTTTAAACCCTGAAGACAGTGCATTTCTAGAAGTAGGCTTTCATTACACTCTACAGTTTACATGTAGAAGAGCTTGCAGAAACAGGTAAGCAGTAAGCAGCATGGGACTGGCTGGATTTTTGTAGTTTTGTTTACTATTATTATATTAAGTGATTATTGATGGGTATCTTTACTTTACGTCATGTCATACAATATTGATAATATCATAATGATAATGACAACAATGTAGGCCTATTACATACTATGTCTTTTGGGACAAAGTTTATATTTCAAATATTGCTTCCTATAATTACTACAAATATTGAGCAAATATATTAGATATGATTTTTAATAATCAATAATGGCGTACACTAGTAGGCCTATATTATATATTTTCTTTAAAAACCTCATCTTAATTTTATCATAATAAATGCATTGAATTGAATTGATGATTGAGCATTGATTGTACTTTTAACTTGTTAAGATAACGACTAAGGTCAGTTGTTCAAATTAAAGCTATTAATTTATTAATACAATTTTAGTAATCCATTTAGCAAATTAAGCTTCCAGTGGTTATGGGAGGACCTGACCCTCCACTTTAAAATAACTACTACATTACTACATTGAACTTCAAATTCAAATGGCTGAAATATTGCTAAGCAAGCAGCAAGGCTTTTATAAATTTACTTTATGTCTGTCTATGAGTATGAGTATGACTATGTCAAATTATGTGCAAGCTGAAGTTTTAAAATTTAAAGCCTCAATGATAATGTCATTATTAATGAAATGCCTTAATTATTGGCCTACCTGGTTGTTTAGGTGGTCCATGACGGTCAATTTTTATTTAAGATGACCAAGATCGCTCCTTATCTTTTCGACTCATTGTATTGCAATTATGATTAATTAAATTATCTTCAACCAGTTCTTTCTGGAGTCTACAGAAATTTGTGTGTGTGACTAGGTCAAGGTTCCTTGCTTTGGTCCTTAGCAGATACACTGACAGATCGTACTATTTTCGTTTTTTAACTAACCACACTTCCACACGATAGATGATAATTTTTAGGTCTATACTATGAACATCAAATAATTTAATAAACATTAAAAGAACATTTGCAAAATCGATCAGTTTTAAACTGCTTAGAAGTTAAAGAGGGGTTTGTTGAAACAGCCAATAATTATTTACCGTAACTTAGACGACTTAGTCCAATGTGCCAATGTATTGTATGTCGATTTATTTCCGCGGTGATGATGTTTTCGTGTTAATTTTTGGGGGAATTCCCAATTTTAAAAACACGCCATGACATGACTAAACTCATGGCAAAATAATATTAATATGTCATAATTAGATTAAGATCTAGATCTTATTAGAACTTAACAAAATAATAAAATATAATTATTACATTTTTGTGTACACTAACAGTCAACACAATAATTGATAAATAGTTTTTTAAAATGTGTTTTTCTTTTTTAATTTTTTTTTTTTTTTGGTGTTTAAAAAAACAAAACAACAATACAAATTGGGAAAAAGGGAAGGAAGGCTCAGGTTGTTAGTTAAAGCGGGGAGGTAGCTCGCACTTACTTCAACGTTTGTTTATGTTAAAAAAAAAAAATGCAGATGAAATCTAAAATAATCTACGGAAGACTTAGTTTTATAATCTTAAAAAGAAAATTATTAAAACTTGGCCTGGACCGAACTCACGCTCTAAAATAATAAGGAAAAAAAATATTACCAACTAAGTCAACTAGCTAGTGTAAACAAAGTTATTTTAAAATGTAATAATTGTAAGAAAGAAAATGTGTTTAAAAAAAATAGTTTGAGGCACAATGACTTTATTAAATGCATGTAACGTCAACATGTTAAGAAGGAAGGGAAAAAAAAAGACTCATACTTTTCCAAAATAGTAAACAATTAATTGAAGGGAAATAACCCAATAAGGAAGAAATTAAACACGATTGACAGGGTTATGAATCGTTATGCATTATTTACTGTTGAGTAAACTAATCTAATGTTTGACAATTTACATTTAAAAATTTGACAAATTTAAATTTTAAGTCAGGGTCTTCAAGGTATTTAAGTATTTCAAATTTATTTGAAACCGAAATAAACTAAATTAAATTTTAAAGAGAAATAATTGAGCTTGATAAATTGTCAATATGCCTACTACATTCAAAGGACCTAATACATTTATGGAAATTTTCATATACTTTTGTACTGTAGAGCTGTAAGGGCTGTTTTCTTTGAGTTATCTATCCTGAGTGCAATTACCTTTTCTTGGCCCACCCTATCCATAATGAGTACAACCACTTATTCATTGGCTATCATCAACATTAATTTTTATATCAGTGGAGTCACTAAGGGGTGCGGCAGGGGAGGGGTGTTCGGCGGCGGGGGGGGGGTGCGGAATGCACTGGGTGATAGAATCACAGGAGGGGGCACCAAATGATTTTTCATTTTTAACTGTGTTTGCTCGAGTCTGTTTAACAACAGAATTCAGTTAACTAAAAGAACACAGTGCTACCAGAATAGAGTGATACCAGAATAGGGTGCTACCAGAATAGGGTGCTACCAGAATAGCGTGCTACTAGAATAGGGTGCTACCAGAATAGGGTGTTACCAGAATAGGGTGCTACCAGAATAGTGTGCTACTAGAATAGGGTGCTACCAGAATAGGGTGCTACTAGAGTAGAGTGCTACCAGAATGGAGTGCTACCAGAATAGGGTGCTACCAGAATAAGGTGCTACCAGAATAGAGTGCTACCAGAATAGAGTGCTACCAGAATAGAGTGCTACCAGAATAGAGTGCTACCAGAATAGGGTGCTACCAGAATAGAGTGCTACCAGAATAGGGTGCTACCAGAACAGGTAGTCAACAGAGCAGGTTACAACTGAGCACAGTGCCACTAGAACAGGTTGCCACCAGAACAGAGTCCACCAGATCAGTTAGCCATCATAGCAGTTAGACACCAGAACAACGTGTCACCAGTAAGAGAAGGATGTCACCAGACAGAGCAGGGTGTCACCAGAACAAGGTTTCATCAAACAGCACAGGGTGCCATCAGGTCACCAGACAGAGCAGTATGTCACTAGACAGAGCAGGATGTCACCAAACAGAGCAGGGTGCCATCAGACAAGACAGGGTACCATGATAACAAGGTGTCATCAGACAGAAAAGGGTGTCATCAGACAGAAAAGGGTGTCATCAGACAGAAAAGGGTGTCATCAGACATAAAAGGGTGTCATCAGACAGAAAACGGTGTCATTAGTTTCAAACAGAACACGGGTGTGGAGCTCTCCCAATCCTCTGATCACGTGATCACGTATACTCTTATCTCTCATAAATCTGTTGCATCATGTGAGAGGAGCTTTTCAATACTGAAACTAAAAAAACTTTTTGCGACATACTTCGGAACAGTCCAGGCTTTCCATTCTTTCAATTTTAAAAATTAAATTTGATAAAGTGAAGAATGTCTTTTTTTTTTTTTAATGTCGTGATTGACATGTTAATATCTTTGAAGACTAGGGAAGTTAAGTTCTATAGTGATAGAGGGGAGAAACTGTAAGCAGGTTAAAAATATGGAAATGACCGAAACAAAGTTTGGGGAAAACTGAAAAAGGGGAAAGAAACTAAACAAAACAACAATTCTAACATTTAGGCTCTATGTTTTTCAAATAAACATACATGTGTTGTAATTTTTTATACGCTGTCAGCACGAATTCTGTTTTCTTCTTATGTCTTTTGTTGCTTTAGGACTATGGTGACCAACCC